CCAAGGCCTCAGGATGAGTCATCCCTGCCTCACTGGAGGAGTGACACTCAGCCTTCAGACTCAGGAGGCGCCTGGTGGCCACACAGTCTCTGGGAAGATGCTGCGCGCCAGGCGTGGGGGTTTCCTGTTCTGCATGGAGAGCTGGGCAATGATGAGGTGAGGAGTCAGGGATTATGTGCTTTGTCTTTGCACTCTGGCAGGTTTGGCTCCAAGCAGATGTCACGCAGGCTTCGTTCTGCAGTGAATTCACTCACGTGGCTGCCCGGGGACAGCCACATCCTGCAGCCCCGACTCGAGCTCCTAATTGAGACCCTGTGCTGTCAGCTCCTTGGCTGACGTCCAGGGCAGGCACAGAGCCTCTGCCTCCCACCCGCATCCCACTGCCACCAGCTTCCCCCAGGCTCTGTGTGCCCTCAGATGGCAGGACCTCTTAATTGGAACCATTCCCAGGGAATTGGTGGCGGAAATTAGGCCAGACGGAGAAGGGGACATGTCCCTGGTGTTTGCAAACAGATTCCCCAGAGCGACCTTCTGGGCGCTGTATTTCCTGTAGCAATGGCCTCGAGGAGAATTTTGGGTTTTCTCTGATGGAGATCAGCTGCTAAATTATTTCAAGTCTTATCGGTTTGAAAAATCCCCATGCTTTACTTTCTGTTTATTGGTAAACCAATTTGTGGAATTTAGAATGAAAATCTCCCAGCTTGAGGATGAACCCCGGCAAGGAAAGACTGATCACTTGAGGGGATTTACGGTTTCCCTCAGCTCCCGTGCCAATTAAGAAAGAACTTTGATTGGTGATTCCATTTGGAAGTCTAATTTTATTGCAGGCTTTTATTCATCTCAGGGACAGGATTTTTGGTGGTTATTATTTTTTTTTTAAAGCAACCCTGGAATAAAAAAAGAGTTACCACTGAGAAGGCATAATTGTGGCAATTTAATGTGTGAGCACACTTTTATAGATTTCTGGAGCAGAGCGAAGGGGAAGTGGCCTTGCGATGACTTCACATTAGCCCAGCTTGCTGCCTGGCCCTGGGGGCTGGAGGAACCTCCCACCCTGGTGTGGAAGAGGTTTTTCTAAAGCTGAGTGGGAGAGAAGAGACTCTGTCCTACAGAAAACCTTACATTTTTAAACTCTCTTCTCACCTCACTCTCCAGGGGTCAGACCTTCGGGTTTGTCCTTTCTTTCCCTGGCGGAAATGGCTGTTAACCATCCGCCCATCCACGGAGGCTCTTCAGAGAACTGGGGTAATTAGGACATGGATTGGCGGGATTCTGTCTGGCAGGGGGAGGCCAGAGGGCAGGCTTCTAACTGTGTTTCGGAATTGCCTTCTCCTTCCTCCCACTAACCGCATGAGGTGTGGACACAGCCATCCCTGTGTCACAGGTGAGAAAGCCGAGGCTCAGAGAGGTTAAGGTCACCTGCCGGCAAGTGGGAGCTAAAATGGTCTGGAGGAGCTTGTCCAGGTCTTTAAGGAGGTGTTGCACGTGTTACGTCTCCATGTCGGTCGATGAGGAAGCAAGCTTGGGTCGCACAGCTCACGAACGGTGCTGGGTTTCCGGGAGTCCCAGAGGACTCTGGGTACACAGCATCTGGCTGTGTGGGTCCTTTCTGAAGAGAGCCTGCTGCAGGGGTGGGAGTCAGGTCCAAGGACCCACAGTTTTAAGTCAGGAAGGGTTAACCATGAACTAGCAATTGGGTGAGGTGGTGGTGTAGACAGACATACTGGCCTCCTTGGAAAGATTTACCACCAAGTTGTGTGTTGTCACGGTGCACAGTGTGCTGTGGGTGGCCCGCTGCTAACCCCAGACCATCAGCTGGTCCCCACAGTGACTGTGAGCCCCAAAACCATCAGCTGGTCCCCACAGTGACTGAACCCCGAGACCAGCAGCTTGTCCCCGCCAGGGACTGGGGGTGAAGGTGAGACAGTCTCCTCCCACTAAGACTAGATGGATGGTCACTATGAACTGATTCAACTAGGGCAGTGGGTTTGTTCTTCAGTTTCCGAGTCTGTTACAGGAGCACTGGTCCAAGGTTCAGATTCTGCAGCTGCTCCCTCGTGGGGAGAAAGGTTAAAGTCTGCGTCCCTGAAAATGCCCTGCCTGGGGACCCTCGGGGGCACTTCCTCTCTGTCCTGTGGGGCACCGTGAGCTGGGATTGATCGGATGATGAGGGCTAGCAAAGTTCCTAGATGGCACAAAGGGTCTCTGTTCAGCTGCAGAACTGAAGGTTCGCCGTGTAAACACGCTGAGGGACCTTTGACCCAAAGACCTGGTGATCTGCTGAGATTACAGCCAGGAAACTTTCTGTAACACTGTGTCCCCATGAGATGGTGTTGCACCTATGTCTTTTAGCATTGAGGGGTGTCGGGGTGCAGCCTGCCTGTCAAGCTGGGGCAGGGGCTGCATGCCAGCACGTTATGTGTGTTTGATCTCACTTGTTTTGGTACCAAGTAGGTTTTGAAACACAGAATAATACTTCAGACCTGACCATTTCCCTTAAGGTCCTGATCAGAAGAGGGGCAGAAACACCTGACTGTTCCCTTCACTGAAGATGTGGCCCTCCCCTAAAGGAGTGGGTGAGGAGGGGGCCGTGGAGGTCAGCTGGGACTGACTGTTTTTTTTTTTTTTTTTTTTTTGGGGACTGACTGTTTTCTGTAATGAGTGTGCTGGGGACAGAGAGAAAGAGAGAGAGCACGAGAGAGTGAGGGAAGAGAGAGAGCGAGCGAGCGCGCAAGCTCACCGAGCAAGGACACAAGCTGAGCGAGCACAGTAGGTGGCCTGGGCTTAAAAGCTGGAGCAAATTGTTAGGTACCATCGAGTTGACTAGGACTCACAGCTTCTCTACAAGCAGCTGATCTGAACGCTGCCCTATCCTGCATCGTTCTCATCATCTCTGCCTGACGCACCTGAGCCCATCGCTTGAGTCACTGTCAATCCCTCTTATTGGGGGTCTTCCTCTCTTCCCCTGAACCTCCACTTTTCCAAGCATGATGACCCTCGCCCAGAGTATGTGAGAGGAAGCCTCATCATCTCTTTTGCTCCAAGAAGCAATGTGGCCACAGTTTTTCCAAGACACATGTGTATGTTCCTTTGGCAGCCGCGGGATCCTCAGTACTCTTCTCCAACACGACAGCTCTAAAGCCGTGGTATACGCAGTACTCTTCTCCAGCACCACAGCTCCAAAGTGTCGCTTCTTCCATCTGAGAGGCAGCCCGGATGAAGTCCCGTGTGCTCCGTTAGTCCATGGATCTGGTGTCATCACGGATGCATTAAGATACTCACTTCTCCCACCCTGGGTCTGGGGCCGCAGCTGGGTGGCCTGTGCGGATGGCGGCAACTTTGATTTTTGTCAACTTAGCCCAGCGGCCCCGTCCCTCGAAAAATAATGAGAAAAAAAAAAAAAAGATACTCACTTCTCTTCCCAGAAAGTGAGAACTTGAAATGCTTCTGAAGCACCTGCACCCCAAGCCCGCAGGACGTTAGGGTCCACAGCCCCATTTTCCTTTGATCTCAGCTCCCACCTGCCCCATGGTGGACCCCCACCTCGCCACACAGGCCATGAGAAAGACCCCTAAGCACACCTGGGCTTTATAGGCCCAGGGATGTCAGTGAGCGCAGAGATCTCAACTTGATGGCCATCCTTGAGAGTGAGGCTGGTGTTTCTGCACAAGTCTAGAATATTCTATATACCACAGCTTGAGAGCAGTGACAGACTTTTCAAGGGCAAAACAGAATTCTAACGGAACGCACTGTGGTGTTGACTTCAGAAAGGAGTGGTGATCATGACCCCCATCTCCAGAGCTGTCTGTTTCTGCTCTGGTTCTCCTGGCGAGCTCACGGGGCTGGGAGAACGGCACACGCACCACCAGGCAGATGCTGGCTTTTAATTGATCAGATAGTCGTTCAGCCTGAGAGGGTAGGGCCGGCCGCCTTCCACACGACTCACGGGCTCTGCGTGTGGATGAAAGGAGCCAATGCGTGTGCAGCCGTGGGAGTCGGACCCCAGAAAGTGTTGACACCCAGGCAGTGGTCACACCCAGGGAGGGGAGGCCACTGACCACCTCTGGCTGCACTGAAGGGCTCACAGTGACCCTGGGTGAGCGAGAGTCAAGCTGGGTGGAGGCTTCTTGGCAATGAAGCCCCAGATTGGAGCACTGATGGGGGTGTCCAGCCTAAAAGCTAAATAGGAACTGGGCTTGGGCCCCTCCACCAGTGTGCTCAAACCAGATGGTCCTAGGCGCCTTTTTAAGGAAGGGGGGAGTGCCTGTGAGAATGCAGTGAAAGCTGGGGTCCTTTTGTCTGGAAAATAAACTCACATAATTGTGCCCTTACCCAAAAGGATTCTGACCTTTCCAAGGCTGGAGACCCTGGGCTGGGGAGGAGCTTTCACAGGGTGTGTGGGTGTCAACTTCCTGCTCTCAAACAGGTTTTTTTGCCTGATTTCTCTGATATTTTTGGTAAGAACTATGGAGACTAAGGCTCTTAGGACGAAGAGAACACTTTCACATGATTTTCAGATGTTTCAGGAACAAGTCCTCGATCATGCTGACATGGTGGGCTCCACACCACATATTTCACCTCCAGGGCTCATGTAAACCCCCCTCCGTCCTGCTCTTAAATGCTTGCCAGCCTCCTTCCCACCTCAGGGCCTTTGCACGTGCTGTCCCCGCTGAGCTCTTCCCTCCTCTTACTCAGCTCCTACTCAGCTCAGGCCTTGCTTCTCTGGTGGGCCTTCTGCAGGGTCAGCTGCTCCGGCTGGAGGTAAAACGGCCCGGCTGTATCTCCTTCCCACCTTTGTGAGTTGTAACTTTTGTTGACAAACAATATCCATTGTTCTCCAAGGGCAGGAACCGAGTGTGCCTTGCCCAGTGCTGCGGTCTCGGTATCTTGCCCAGGCCCTGGCACCCAGAGAGTGCGTGTCGTGTGTGTGTGAGACGTGCCACACGCCACAGGGCGCTGCTGGCCTCCCGTCACTGTCCCGTGCTGTGCTCGTCCGGCAGGCGTGCTGCGGCTCCTGGAGCACGGGGAGGACTATGTGTTCACGCTGCCCAGCGCCTACGCCCGCTCCATCCTCACCATCCCCTGGGTGGAGCTCGGAGGGAAAGTGAGCATCTGCTGTGCCAAGACTGGTTACTCGGCGACCGTGACCTTCCACACGAAGCCCTTCTACGGAGGGAAGGTCCACAGGTAGGAGGCCTGGGCTGCGGGGACCCACCAAGGGAGAGAGTGCCACCTGTCCAGGTGAGGCTGGGATGAAGTGGAGGTGACAGACATCCTCTGAGTGACTGAGCTGCTGTCTGGGGTCCTCCCCGCTCACTTGGCAGTAGCTTGGAGTCCTCCTGGTCTGAACTTGAGCGACACTGATGGATGGATCAGGTCACAGCAGCGCATGTCTCTCCCAGCTCCACTTCCCATTGGTAGCTTGAAATCAGCCGTGGTGGATGCACATCTCAGGGCAGTGGTCCCAGGGGCCCTCCAGGCTCAGCTCAGTGACTAAGTCGGCCTTTGTGGCGGTGTGTGCAAGTTCGAGGCTCTGCTCCACGTTCCTCTCCCCTTCTGCCAGGGTCCTTCAATTGTAGCCCTGATTTCTATCATTGTCCTTCAGTCAGTGGTAGGAGCCGCCTGTCTGTCGGCACACAGCGGTTTCCTCAGTGTGTCCTGCAGACCTGGGAGACTTATCTTCTCTGGTCTTGCTTCTGGTGGCTGTTTGCAGACTCAGGAACAGAGCTTCCCAGCTGTTTGAATCGCCAGTCAGCTCGGGGTGCACGTCCAGGCAGGAGCAGCTCCGCACCCCACTGGGCTGCTTGGGAGCAGGTTCTGGTTCTCCTGTGTAACTGAGGAGGAGGGACCGTGGCTTCACAGTGAGGTCTCCGCAAGGCCTTTGCCATGAGGTTGAAGGCCCTCGGAGGTGCACATGTGGGTGATTGATGCTGAGAGCGGCTTCTCTTCCTCAGTCACTTGCCCAGGGAGGTGGAGGGGGTACTGGGGGTAACCCAGACATCCCTCTCCTTTTCTCTCTCCATCTCTGTTGGAGTCTGGATCAGACCTATGTATTGACTCGAATATTGCAAAGATCTCCCTATGCTTACCCTTTCTGTGGTTAAGAGCACTAATTAGATAGTATCTTATTTTTCAGAGAAATGGGATTTTTCTTTTACACTGAATTGCTAGATTTTCAACTGAGCGCCTTGGAGTCAAGGATTCTGAAGTTTCCCTGACATACTTTGGACATGTTGCAAGGAGGGACCTGGTCCGTGGAGAAGGATGCCATGCTTGGGAGGGTGGAGGGACAGCACAGGAGAGGAAGACCCTCGATGAGGTGGATTGACTCAGTGAATTGGGGTGGTGGGAGTAAGTGTGTTGGAGACAGCGAGTTTGGCACAGGGTTTAGGGCTCTTGTACATAGGGTTGCTATGAGCTGCAAGCGACTCGATGGCACATAACATCATCATCTAAGTTTTGCAGAACCGCTGTGTTTGCCAGGTCTGTGCCCACTCTGGCATGCTGCCACCAGCCAGTTGTGAGTCTTTATTTATGATCCAGCAGCTGCCCATTCATGTCCTCTTCCTGCCCCACGGTGTCTGATCTTTGAGTTTGGCCCAGGCACACCGTTAGGCTCAGACCTCCCCTGACAGAAAGCCCCTTGAACGATCAGTGCACCTCCTGAGGTGCTTTCTGGGAATCCAGCTCAGTCTGTCTGTCTCGTTCACTGACAGGGTCACCGCAGAAGTGAAGCACAACCCCACCAACACCATCGTCTGTAAAGCCCACGGGGAGTGGAACGGGACCTTAGAGTTCACCTACAGCAACGGAGAGACCAAAGTCATCGATACCACCACGCTGCCAGTGTACCCCAAGAAGATCAGGCCTCTGGAGAAGCAGGACCCCATGGAGTCCAGGTAAGAGGCACACACCAGGTTAAGGGCTAGCACAGCCCTCTGCATAGCTGACCTCAAGAGCTGGACTCGGCCGGTGGACTCATCCTGATGGCTCAGCTTCCAGCCCAAGGATGACACGAGACACGTGCTTGTTCTTTGGAACAATGAACCACACACGATCAAAGGCAGCCTTGTGGGGAGGGAGGGGGGCTGCCAAGCCAAAGAGATCAGCTGCTCACATCCACCAGCTGCTCCTCAGAGCAAGATCTCTCCCGTGCAACTCGGCCTCTGAACACCCGCTGGAGGGTCAGCTGTGAGTTGCTTCTGACTTGTTGGGAATGAGTGGGAAGGCAGAAGTCCCAGGGAAGAGAGCAGAGTGGTGTTAGTGCGAGGGCTGCAGTTAACATCATAAAAATGTCTGAATGGTTGGACAGCAAGCCACTTTGCTCCCACTGTTTTCACTCCATCCCGCTCAAGTTGGGTGTGGGAATCTTCAAGTGACAGAGGGGAAACCTTTGAAAGTTGTGCTGACAGAAATGGGCCCAAAGTTGTATTCTTTGGGTTGATTTCAATATTGTTTGGTTGTCACCTAGGGGTGGACCCTTGGAAGCTTCCAGTTGGGTTATTTTACAGTTAAGGACAGACAAATGAAGATAGTGGACTTTGAATGCCTTAACTGAAAATGTAAACTCAATCCATTTATCGGTTGCTTGATTGCAAAGTTAACTATATACAGAGGTCAAATTGACCTTTGTGTTCAATCGAGAGGGTGGGTTTTTTTTCCTTATCAGACTAGCAAAGGTGTAAGAATTATAAAACTGGCAGACTGGACCCTTCCTGTGTGGTTGCAGCCCGGCTGGTGTGTCGATGGTCTAATGTTCTGTGTAGGTCTGCAGAACCCAGCCCTGTGCAGTGGGAGGGGATGGGCCTTCCTTTGTAAATTCTGCCCCGAGTGTCAGGCAGAGCCTCCCCTTTCCTTCTTGCCGAGGAGGCACTCCCAGAAGCATCAGGTCCATGGGCCCAGCAACCGTGCAGGGGCCGCTGGCCTTTCCTGCAGAGGGACCGGTGTGGCCGGTGGGCTGGTGCATCCGCCCTCAGTCATGCAGCTGCTTGTCAGGGTCCAGAGTAAAGTTGTGTAGTCTTTGCCCGTGCCCGGGGTTGCCAGCCACGCCTGGCCTGGCATGCATCAGCCCTGTGAGAGCCCGTCCTCAGACGCAGCCCCCTTGGCGGTCTTTTATTTCCTCACACCCCCCATGGACCCCACTGTCACCTGAAGGTGTCAATTGGGACTTCCTTGTCTGGGGTGGAGGCCCAGCTGTGGCTCCCTGTGGGGAAGTGGCATTGTTCCCCGTCTGGGAGCTTCTGGCTGGGGCTAGAGCCTTAACCTCTACGCACCTGTGCGCACTCCTGCAGAAATGGAGACACCGCCATCACGGCGGCGAGGCTGTGTGGATGTGTTAACGTATCTGTCATCTGCACGCTGTGCCTGGTTAGCCATGGTAGTCTTTCTCCTGTGCCCCTCTGCTCTCCATTGGGGACAAGGGCAGCTGGCAGCCTGGGACTCTCCCTCATGTCCCCCTCTCACCTGGAGCATGCCAACCAGCCTGTCTCTCCTGTCTCCCCCAGGAACCTCTGGCGGGAGGTGACGCAGTGCCTGCGGCTGGGGGACATCGATGCGGCCACAGAGCAGAAGCGGCGGCTGGAGGAGCAGCAGCGGGCAGAGCAGCGGAAGCGGGAGAGCCTGTGTGTGGCCTGGAGGCCCAAGTACTTTGTGCAGGAGGTGAGCGGCATCGCATTTGTGCAGCTGGGTGGATGGAACCAGGCAGGGCAGGCCCCGAGAGGGAGCAGGCTTCTGGGTGCAGCCTTAGTATCCTGTGGGAGAACTGGGCAACTCACGGGTCCCTTTGGGGAGGGGATTTCCTAGGAAGCTAGTCCAGTCTCCAGAAACAAAGCACCACGCACAAACTGTTCCCACTTACTAATTTATTAGCACCAGAGAGGGGCCTGGCCGGGGGAAGGCAGCGGCAGAGCCTCTTCGAGAGTCCTGCTCTTTAGGAGAAAGTGTTGTGTCTCAGGAACAAAGCGTGGCTGACCCTCCAGCGGGTTTTGCGAGGCTGTAAATCACACAAGAGGAAACTCCATCTTTTGTCCCTCAGAACAGAGCAGCTCGTGAAGTCACCTGGCGTAGGTCCCACAGCTCCCTAAAGAGAGAACAGAGAAGGAGCTGAACTGACTGCCCTGGGCAACCCACTGACACATCCCATTCTCAAGAAAGATGATCCAACAGAAAAGAGTATTTTTTAAAAAGTGTCCACAAATACTATATGCAAAGAAAATGTTGGCTGAAAATCATCCAAAAATGGTTAAATGGCTAGAACAGTACACCCTGACAGAAGAAGAGCTTAGAAGAGACTGTGCTGTGAGTCTTCTTACTGATGGATCTGAAAGCACAGAATATCAGAAGGACGGCTATTTGTATTTTATTGACTCTGAGGATCATAAACTACGGCTAACCTTGAGGAGAACTGAGAATCCCAGAACACCAAGTTATGCTTAAAGTCTGTAACTAGACCAAGAGGCTGTTGTACCAACATAGCAGGGAACACAGCACAGTTTAAAATCGGAAAGGTGTGCTGCTGCAGTGTTCTCTGTGCTGAGCAAATTAGAAAAGCTAGACTTTGTGTGAGAATGGTCACCCGTGGCGGACAGTGTTTGGTGGAGCTCCCTGATTCAGACAAGCCTGGAAGCAGGAGCGGCATCCACTTCCATAAACAGCTTGCCTCCGGAAACCCTATGAACCTGGAGAGAGGATGAGAGTCATACAAGTGTTCAGGTCTTTCGTTCACAGGGTTGCTATGAGTCACCTACGACTCGACCACACTTAACAACAGTAGACTTTATGAAGAACAGTGTGGCAACCAGACAGGAGGGTAGTTCATCAACAATATAGTATTGAATAGAAGTGGTAATCTGAAGACAGGAAAGAGAAGGGATTAAGAGGCATCTAAATAGGTAGAGGTGATGAAACTGGCCCTATATGCAAGGGAGAGGGTAGGGTACACAGAATACCTCAAAAACGCAACAAAAAACCCGTTAGACCAATTTACTAGAGTGGCAGGACGCAAGATCAGTAGATCTCTCTACAGCTAAGAACTTTATAAACTTTGTATGTAAACCAGTATGAAATTAAAAAACCCAAGCAACCCACTAAGAGCCTAACTAAATGAAAAAATATTCTCTGTTCATGGATAGGAAAACTTGGCATTGCCAAAGTGGTAATCCTACCATATGAGCTATCTATATGTTTAAATAAGCAAAGCTCTTCTGAAAAATAACAACACTGCAGTAGTAACCAAAACTGTACTGGTACAATGACTGCCACACAGATGAATGGACTAGGATTGAGAACCGAGAAATTCAAACATCTACGTATAGTCAGTTGTTATTTGACAAGGAATCAAAACCTAGCAAATGAGAGCCTCTAAACAAATGGTGCGGGCGAAACTGGACATCTACCTGCAGAAAGCAAACAGGCTCCACATCTCACCTCATATGCAAAAGTAAACTCAAGGTGGAACAGAGAGCAAGGAGTAAAGCCAGAAACCATAAGGATTGTAAGAGACAAAAATGGGTCTAAACTTAGAAGCCTTAGCCTGTGGCATAAATTGGCTTGTAAAAATAGCCAGAAATGCACTACAAGGAGATGGCAAAAAACAAATGGGACCTTCTAAAAATCAAGTCCCTATGTGCATCAAAAACGTTTCCTAACAGAGTGAAGTCCCTAAGTTTACAGACTACTACAGGGCTTCCATAAGAAATCCAGTAACAGGCAAAAGACTTCACAAATTCAGGCCTCTGAGTTGTGGACTGAAAAAGGAACACATGGATCCTGGAGAAGTGCAACCAGTGTGTTCTCTGAAGGTGAAGATGGTGAGCTTCATCTCATACTTTGGACACGTCAGGGGAGTCCTTGCGCCAAATGGATGCAGTGGACTGACGTGTGGAGCATGATGACGCAGGCTCGGACAGGGTTCACAGCTGTTGTTCCTGGGGTTCTCCTCTGGGCCAGGTGGCTCTGGACTGTCCAAATGCCTCCTATTTAAGCCATTCCTTTCATCTGTTTCCGTTTTCTCTTACCTCTCAATTTCCTTTTGCGCAGTAGTTGTATTTCTCGATGCAAGCCCAAAGAAGTCTCATGGTGTTGGTCTGGTTTCCCCTTTGACATGCTGGTGTGGGAAGGCCTAGCTGTGAGTTACCACCGCCCGGCACAGCCTCCGGCCCTGGTGTCCCTGAGGCTGGGGAGCACATCCTCTTCGAGTCGCTCTCCATGTAACATCTCCCTTCCTTCTCTTCTTGCAGGGTGACGGCTGGGTCTACGTCAGTCCCCTCTGGAAGGCACACTGATGGTGGAGCTTCAGCACTTCCTGGCTAAGCCCTGTTTTGTAGGAATTAAAGTGGTACGGTATCAAGGGTCTGCAGGTCCTCACTGAAACCTCTTGTCATTCAAGTATGAGAGGGCATACTCTGAAACGGGCACCCCCAGAATTCTGCTGTGCAACTGAGTCCATTCAAGAGCCATTTAGGACACGTGTGCACTGGTCTGCGTGTGTTCAGCACACGCATGCACTACACACACGTGCGGGGTATTAGTAGGCTACCTGTACATACTGCACCCCCCAGGTCTACCTGGGAGATGATGAGCTCCTTTATATTAATGAGGTTTTCTAATTTTCACCTTTCCATTCACGAAGGTATTCTTGCGCAGTCAGCTCATGTCAGGACAGTTGAACGGGCACAGCCTTGTAGACGACACGGCCTTGCTGATCTCTTTAGTAGAAGTGTGGGGGGTGATCATTTCTAAACTCCTGCTTCCAATTTTCAATCAGCACCCCCGCTCCCCGAGATAAGGCACTCTTTCCTGCTGGATGAGGGGTGGGAGGGGCTCTGGTTTACGTCAGTCCTCCAGGATGGAATGGATGTACACCAGGTCTCTTCCTCCGCGTTTCCTCCTCTCTGAGGCCTCCGATGACTTCTCACACTCACAGCTCTAGCTGTACATTTTTCAGAAGCTGTTTCTTTTATAGCAGAAAATAAATTATGACTTCACTTTTGTGATAATAAAAGGGCTTTCAAGTTGAATAGACACACGCATGCGCATACATTGCAACACAGCCTCAATCCTGTACTTTCTGAAAAATGCACCTCTCAAGTTTGACCCAAACTCGGCAAGCAAACCACTGTGATTAAGACCTGCATCAAGCCTGCAGTGTGTCCCTGGTTACAGCTGCGTTTCTGTCCTCAGCTTCACAGTGAGGTCAAAGACATGAGCGGACGGCAAAACTGCCAACTATTTGATTTTAGCTCAGTGCTTCATTTCTTTTTTACTGTACCATTCCAATGGTATTTATAAAATCCAGTAGCATGAAGGCTTCTCTGTAGTAATAATTTTGTGCCTTTGGTCTGCATTCTTAAAACCAATTGTTCACTTTGTAGATATTAGACAAATATATTTCGATTAAATACTTATCTGTGTGTGTGTGTTATTTTCAGGGAATCAGAAATTCTGATGAAACTGGTAGCTGAGTGGTACTGCATTTTATGGGAGGGTGGGGGTTCTCCACTGTCAATCCTTGGTTAGGGGTCTTTCTCTCTATTTGACCTTTCATCTCTCTCAGCAACATGTCATCTTCCAAACACTGACCTCTCTAGACATCATGCTGCAGTATATGAGGGGAAGTTTCAGCATCGGTGCCTCTAAGGGGCACCGCGGGTGCACCTCCTCCCAGCCACACTTGGCTGTTCTTTCTGCCGGCCGCAGGATATATTCAGTACTCTTCTCCAACACAGTTCAAAGGCACTGATGCTTCTGTCATTTTTTACCTCACTGTCCAACTTTGAGATACACAGCAAGCAACTCAAAGTCAGGTTGGATCAGGTGCATCCTGAGTTTCTGAACTGATACAGTACTCTTGAGAGGTCCTTGACAAAGGTTTCCCCAGCCCAACTTACCTTCGGATTTCTTGACTGCCGCTACCGTGGATAGCAACTGGGGATTTGAGTAGAAGGAACCTGTTGACAATGCCTATCTTTTTCTGCATCTGTCTTGTCATCGTCTGCTGTCCAGCGGTAAAGGTTTTGGTCTTCGTGCTGAGATGTGAAACGCAAGTGCTTAAAGTCCTCCTCACTTTTACCAAAGTTGTGTCATCTGCATAACACAAGTAGTTGTTGGTAGTTAAGTGCATGGAGTACTCCAAGTGCAGGGATTCTCTGCACAACAGACTGAAAACCTGCATTATTCTCACAATTCCTGCTGGGCTGTCACTGTGGCAGTTGCCCATGTCTCTCAGCGAGGTCTTCCTTTCCTTCCCTCCCTTCTTGTTCCAGGGATGCAGGCCCTCCTAACAACACGCCCGAAGTGTGCGAGGCAAGGTTTCACCCTGCTTGTCTCTAAGGCACAACCTGGTCGCATTTCCAAGTTAGTTTCTTCTCAAGTCCTTGGTACATTCACCATTCTCTACCAACAAGCACAGTTCAAAGGCCTCCCAATTCTTGGGCCATCTTTCTTCAACATCCAACTTTCAAATGAATTTGAAGAAATGGAAAACAATGAATTTTACAGGTTAAGGCTGTTAATTGGGGTGGGGTTTTTTGTGTGTGCTTTTCCCCCTATCACCTGGATTTAATGCATTTAATGCTCCAAGATAGAATACAGTGTGTTCTGTCAATTACAGAAATGTAGTTAACAGCAGATTCTTGTCTCACATCTCACTCTACAATTCAAACGCATCCGTGCATCATCAATAAAGCAGGAACAAAATACGTGGAGATCCAACACATTCAGATCAGGACAAATCCGTCTTTCATAAACTTACCATGAGAAATATCCTCCTCTGTACTTCTCTGCCCCCCCAACCTTTCCATCATTTTGCAAACAGAACAGAAAACGAAGTGAAGAAAAACACCGAGGGCTATTTAAGACACCAGCTTCTCAACACTTTTACAGGGTTTTTAAGGTAGCAACACTGGCCTTTAGGGGGAACTCTTTCCTTTGTGTATCTTTATTCCTTTTAAGTTGGAACAGTAACCCAGTGCACACCCAGGCAAACACATCTACCACCAAATCCATGCTGATGACCATGATGTAAAAATGGTCCACCGATAAACACCACAGTGCTTAGCACAAACCACCCTCAGAAAGCAGCATAATTTTCACACACATTTCAAATTCTGACAAGATGAAACCCAATTCTAAAAACAGGGAAAAAACCCAACAGAACCACCCTACAATATACCAAAATTGACACCATCAAAAATTTTAAAACTTCCATAAAATAACTCAATCTGCAATTAAAAATCTTTACAAAGAAAAGTCTATTGGCTGTTTTCTATTTTCTAGGAATATAGATTTTGTTTAACATTGTAAAAGAAAAGCTTATGCTGTTACATTACTAGATTAAGGAGAAAAGCTTTAATATTAAATATGGAAAATCAGTGTGTATCAAGGGAGGAAAATTGACAAAATCAAATTGCAAGCAACTTAAGAAATTTAAAGAAATGTTCTTAATGTGATTAAAGACAAAAATCTCCAGTACCACCACCCAAAGATGCAGTGACAAATGCTCTGCCTCAGAGGCAGAACAGAAAGCACAGCCACTGTGATGATGCCCACACAGAGAAGGCGGCATTAATGAGCTTAGCTGCTAACCAAAAGGACGACAGTTCAAACCTCTCTGCCACTCCATGGCAAGAAAAAGTTTTACAATCCTCAACACCCTTTGAATTTCTACATACAGAATTTGGTCTTAGTACCTGGTTACTAGGAGACACTATCTAGAGAGATCAAGGTAAGTTAGACTTACCTCAGTTGCTGGCTGTGCATCTGAGAGGTGAACAATGAATATGGATGACAGGAGAATCACCGACGCCTTCGAGCTGTGGTGCTGGAGAAGAGCACTGACTATACACGGGCTGCCAAGAGAACAAACAGGTCTGTGTTGGAGGGTGAAATCAGGTTGCTCCTCGGAGGCAAGAATTTTGAAGCTCTGTCTCACATGTGGCCAGGAGGGCGAAGACCCTGGATGACCTGCACTGACACAGTGACTGGAATGAGGTCAGTTGTGTCTGAGATGGGAAAGGTGGCTCAAGATAGGACAAGACTCCGAGCCACTGTTCACAAGACCACTCTGAGTCGTAGTTGACTCAATGGCACATAACAAATTATGACTCAGGCGGTTCTTTTTCACAGAGGGGTTCCAGAGCCCATCTGATCATGCTAATGCAACGACTTGGGTAAGTGGTGACCTGGCTGTAAAGACGATGTGATGGCGTTCTAACCACACAGGGAAGGAGGCAGCCAGTGGTGTTTGTAAGGAAAGCCCACCAGCCATCTGATGTGAGGTGCTTAGAAGGGTCTCCTCTTTGACACAATGTGGTGTCTCTCTGAGAATTCTGTCTCATTTGTGTTTCTAGCTGTCCCTCATGCAATCCCCCCTAGCGACTGACCAGACCACCAAATGCCCTCTTTGCCATAAGAAAACCCACACCACTGTGCAGTGCTCAGGTTCTACGATTTGTTCGGATTATCAACCAAAAGGGTACTGGGAATCCTTGACTGCACAGCTACAAAGTCAGAAGTGAAGGGGACCCCAAATCCTGACCCAGACAGTCATAACTAAGGGTGCCATGGGAATATTCACAATTGCACTTGGCACCTGGAGTCTTACAGCAGATCTGGGGGGTCAGGAGATCGCACTCCTGAGCTGACTAACTCTAGTGGTTGGGCTGAGTCCTCGTACCACATTTATAGTCAGTGTTGGGGAGACTGAAAATGGGTGCACATCAGACAGAACCCCAAAAACAACCCAATCCAACTCATGCCATCACGCTGGCGCCGACCCTCCAGTGGGTTTTCAGAGGCTGTCAGACCAGAGGAGGCTGTGCCTTCTCCCGTGCAGCAGCTGGGGGATCTGACCTGCATGCCTTTGGCTTGGCAGTGCCACTTCTCCCTTCTAGGTCCCCCGAGCCCAGTGTAGCTTTTATCATTCCTAGGCCAGAAGCACTGAAGTCTGTGCAGAAAGAAAATGAAATGCTGCTGTTCTGTTCAGTCCAATTCTAGTAGCTCTACAGGACACAGAGGGCTTTCTCAGCAGTCATCATTATAGGAACAGCACCCAGGGCCTACCCCGTGCTCCCTGGGAGTCACTGCTGGGCTTCAACTGCTGACCTTTTGGGTAACAGCTGAGGGCTTAAACACTGAGCCACCACAGCTCCTTAGAGAACTGAAATGGTCAATATTCATAAATGAAGATACTGTGTATAAACTCCAAGTCAGAAATGATGAAGGCCTCACATCCAGAAATATTAAAAATGGCGATTAAAGATAATCCAATAAACACGTAAAAGGCTGAAACTGACATCTGATAATTGGGCAAACTTGGAAAAAGCACATTTAAAGATACTATTATTAGCTTACTACCAGATGCAAAATTCAAAGGCTCACAAGGGCTGGTCAGGATATAGAACAGTCAGAACTGTCATCATCACACAAAAACAATTTCACTGTTAAATAAGTATCTACAGAAATGAATGTTCAAGCACCAACAGCTGGAAAAAATATTCTTTACACCACCATCCTGATTATCTTCAAACCAGAACAATGCAAATGCTGTCAACAATGGTCTGACGTACAGACATACATGGGAATGCTACTGTCACTGATGGCTGCGGACAAACTGGAGGAGATTCACGAACACAATACGGAGCAAGAAAAACTATACCTGAGTCCATCTTTATCTCGTTCAAATGCTGGATGTGGTTAATCACGTTTCCACTGAAGAACAGGTGATAAAGTCCTAACATTAAGTAATTGTTTAAAAAGCTAGAGGTGTTACCTTTGAGAGGGGACTGAAGACCCTCGGGGGTGCTGGCACGTTCTTTTCCTTGGGCTGTGCTCGGGTTATGTCACTTGTGTTGCTGCAATTCACCACGCTGTTTGTTTCTGTGTTCTTCTCTTTGGTACATTTGACTGAGAAAACAGCTTAATTTAAAAAACAAGATTAGACAGCAGTGCTTTTCCTGGCCATTGCTCCCATCTCAATGACCTACCGTCTCAACTGTAGGTACAGGGAGCCCTGCCCTTCTCCATTACTCCACCTACAGAGCAAGGTGCATTTCTAAAAAAACCAAAACAAACTAACAAACCCCCCCCCCCCATCAAACCCATTCCAGTTCACAAGCAAAACTGTGCCTCAGAGGACTTTGCGGCAGGCTGTCTCCTGAGGGGTCGCTGGCGTGGACTAGAACCAGTGGTGTTTTGGTTCGCTGGGGATTAGTCCTGTGCATCACCCAAGGTGCAGGACAGGACGAGCACAGATCTGCGTTCCAGGGTCGCCGTGAATCAGACAACCGACAGACGCTAACAACAATCACCTGGACACCCCTCAAGCAGCAGCAGCTCCACGTTCGCCGCTGCGGGGCCTCCTGGCTGCGGATCCAACGCTCTATAGGACGGCTTTGCTCTGCAGGACAGCTTCTCGCTACCTCACCCTCTGGGGTTTGGGATGCAAATCAAAGTTGGCAACAATAAAAATCTGAAAACTAAACTGTCATTGGACTTGCTGATTTATTTACACTAAAGCATTCTAGCTTCATTCAATTCTGAGGTACAGAGTAAAAACAAAAGCTGTTTTACATTCTAGAACTTTAAGGTTATGATTTTTAAAGTCTGATGTCTATGGTGTCACTGAATATAAATGAGCTGAACTCAGAGATCTAGAAAACACTGCCAGCCAATTACCCTACAGTCCTACGTATCCAGACTACAACTGCAGTAAAAACCTCAAGTGCTTAAGCCGCTACATCATTTTTTTTTTCTTCTTAGAAAACCCACCGAACCAAAATGCTCCTAAAAAGCTAAGGAGACTCTTTTCATGATGAGAAACAGTCAGACTGAAGACCCGACGCAGCAGCACTCTGGTCTTCTGCTAGATTCTCATTTAAAGGGAAAAGAAAAATCTTACTAAGCTAGGTAGCATCTGTCTCTAAAAAGTTTCACAAGTGAAGGAGACAAAGAGTTGGTTTCACTTTTGTGTTTTCAACTATTCTTTTCTGTGCCTATTCTCAAAAAAAACTTATGTAAACAAAGGTGGCAGGGAGGTGTTCAGTATTTGATTTACAAATAACAACACTTAACACAAAATTTGAATTAACTTTATTTCCCCTACAGTCAACAACTTCTCTGCATTAAATTTTAAAGCAACAAAGTAAAATAGAATCCCCCCAATGACAAGGTATCAGAAATCCAGATTTAGTTACACGTCATTTGTGAAAATGTTACAGCCATTTTACTGGTCTGTAAAAGAACCATCATCTGGGTCAAAAATGAATTTTATAAATCAAAGAATATTCTACACCTTGGAAAAGAAAATCAGCAGTAACATTCTCACGGAACATTGTAAATTACATTTTCTTCTTCATAAAAGGTACATACTATTCTGCGCTTTCCCACCAAAAGCAGTGGTGTAAGTTACAATTGTTATATAAAAAAAGTTCTATCCTGTGGCAGGAAAACCCTTCCTCACTTTCACTTTTACTAAACAAATGGAGGAAAATTTCAAGTCTGTAGAAAGTTTCCTATAAGCTGGAAAGTGAACATGTTCAATCTCCATTCGTGTTTTAGTGCATTTTTTTTTACAATTGACACATTTTTAATAAAAGTAAGAAAATGCATATAGCTCTAAAGAGTGTTTCATCAAATGCTTAAGGATTTAAAAATATGGAGCCGAGAACAAAAAGCATTGTGATGGATACAGCTTGTAAAATAGAGAAATCTAGGCAAAGTTTACAAATCCTTTGTCATTTGGAAAAGTCACAGAAAAGGAACTCTGGGTACCTGTCAGCTTTAAGGGTTTTTCCTTCAACTTCTGCATGTAAACATAGTGCACTAAGCTCAGGACGAAAATCTCCATCTTAGTACAGGACATGCCGTGCTGTTGCCATGATTTCCAAAGGATAGAAATTTAGCCCTTGAATGAAACAATGTATGACATCTGCTCTGTAAGTACCTGGTGAAAACAGATGCGAACAGCATCAAGAATGTGCCAACATAAAATACGACTGGAATCAATTAGTGACTCTAAGGTCTCCCTTTGAAATAGCAGCGTCTTCGCATACAGAGTCACCAGTAAGCAAGAGAAAATGCACATTTGATGAAACATTCTTTGCTCTGGAGAAACATGAAAATAAATATATTTCAAGGAAGTAGAATTACTTTGCTAATACCTCTTTTCTCGGGCCTGGACTAGTTCACTGGTTCAAGCAGCTCTCCTCTCACAGTCATCTGTATTTTACATATTGCTATTTGGGTAATTCAAACAAAATGCAGGTCTTGTAAAACAATAAAAACATTGACAAGTATGCATGTGCCAGGGACCAAATTAGAGGGTTCTTTGGTGTGATTAGTCCAAATTCTCAGATTTGAAGGATAATATGTACCAATAAAAAAACCTGCTGCTACACACAGCAGAGCTCTGTCCTGCTTCACATTACCAATCGGAAACAGCTGTTCAAGAAGCCAATTTTATTTTATTTTATAAATCAGGCATTGTCAGGAAATTTTGTACATTAGCCTGGACCAGTGATGGTTCTGTACCCTCTGTTGCTGTGAAACATGACATGAGCTAAAGGCAAAGACCGGTTCTCACAAGGACAAGTGCTTCAAGTCAGGAACCAGAACGGAGCCGTTAAACAGTCTTCTTGGCTGTTCTCTTGCCTTTCTTAAAAGCTAGTTTGTTTTTAATGTAGCCACGCTTCCTTTTGGTAGTCTGAAAGAAAACAGGATACACTATCAGTGCTGGTTACTTATAGATTATGACAAAAACCTACTAAACACAAAGAGATGAACAGTGTTTTAAAGTGTCAATTCTTACAGCTGGATTACCTTCAACAGTGAATGAGGCTGCCTCTTGCCACTGCTGGCCTTCCGGACACTAGAATAACTAAAGCAGCAGTGTCGTGCATTTACCAAGCAAACCACAGTGAACTGTGCAGGGTGAGGTACACACCGCTCCCTCCAAATGCGACAGCGTATCATACCCACCTCCCCTAAACCCCCATCCATCAGGAGACAGCCAGAAGACCCTGTCACCCCCTACCACCACAGAGGCGGGAATGCTGGACTAAAAAGCAAAACAGAGGTTGAAGATCACCCCACAAAGTCCCATGTTAGGACTTTTCCCAAAACCAAAAAGTCCCATGTAAAGACTTGCCCCAAAACTCAGAATGTCCCATGTCAGTACTTTTTCCCAAACCAGAAAGTCACAGAAACTTACTGCACCAGTGAGCTACTGCAACGCCAACTCATCTCACCCCAAGTGTCCTAACCAATGAAGAGAGAACACACTTGCCCAAGCCCCGTGGAAGGTCTCCCAAAGCCAAGCCAACATTACACCTGCTGATGGGTCGCTGGGTGCACAGTAAACTTAGAGAACTGTTAACAACAACAAACACCCACCAGTTAAGAGGACCACTGGCTAATTTTATGCCAGGTACACTAAAGGATCCAGGATGAATTGGACTAGGGTTTTAACTTTAGGATGAAAGAACTACCATAACATTCTACAAATGCACACTGCAAGCTCCTCACCAGCAAGCCAACAAGCTCCATCTGCCCTTTCACGCACTTCAATCCTTAGTGGCAACAACTCCAATTGCTCAACTTGAGATACCTGACTAAGGAACCAGAAAATGTTACTGCTGTTCCTGACTCAGCCTTGACAGAATTAGCTGCAAGCGCTCTAACAACTTCTAGAGCCCAGGAGCCCTTATCTGTTAGATGAGGATGAGTCTGTGACACTGACAGAGAAAGCATGGGTAAGAAAATAAGTACTCAGAAATGTGGACTATCCCAACACACACACAAATCATTTCTTTAATGAAATCGATCAGCGACACTTTTAATTAGAGTATGTGTATATTAACTACTTTCTTTTATTTTTTTTCGTTCTATTGTACATAGTGACTTTATTAATTTTTTTGTCTTTTCCTTTAAATTTTTATTTTTTGAGTTTTTTCTTTTTTTTTCTATATTTTATTAATTTTCATAAACATTTACAGAGATTTTGGGTTTCCATTCATTCATTGTTGCACTATTCTCTCTACCCTCCTCCCAGTTTGTTCTTGTCCAAATGCCACAGTGCTTGTCAAAGCCAGTTCTGATTAATCTTCTTTGTCAGTGTGTCCTTTGCCATTCCCTATCACTCCTCCCTGAGAGAGACTTCACCCTGAGTCATAAGGAAAAGGGGATGGCGTATTCTCTTAGCTACTTCCTGCTGAAAAGGGACGCTGTGGGTTTCAGGGTGAAGATCTTCTCTCACTACTCTGAAGGGCCCCTTTGGCAGTAGGAAACACATAGACTATTATGGAGATTGATTTTGGAATTAAGATGCACTCTTACTGATTGTGCTTGGCCGTACATGTTCATATCCTTGAAGATGAATCATGGGGGTGTTGCAACCTAGAAGACACAATTTTGACTAACAAGTTATAAGTACATGAGTCCAAAAATTATGGAAAAGTAAAAGAAATGATTCTTTCATTGTTTTACAAACCCTCCCCCAGGTCCCCTCCACCATGTAGCCCTCGCTCTAGTCTCCTGTGATGACAGAAATACCTAGTTATATATCTCTTTTAAACAGTTTTCTCCCTCCTCTGTTTCAGTGCAGTATACATTATTGAACCCATCTTACTCAGTCTCTCCCCAATCCCAAGGACAGTCCCATTCTACAACAGTGGCATCATGTAATATTTGTCCTTTTGTGACTGGGATTATTAATTACTTTCTAATTAAGGGCACAGTTACAAAACTTCAGAGGATGTCATTTTTGAAAAGGCAAACTAAGTTAAGGGGCTGGTTCATTTGTTATCATTTACCTCTACATCTCCACCATAAAAATCAACCTTTTCTAGGAGCTGTGTGTGCAACGGATGGTCACTGAGCCCAGGAAAAGCGCCCAGGGGTGGATCCCCTCTAGCCAGTGAGTCTTACCGGCAGCTCTCACCCCTACCCCAGCACCTCAGGCAATGTCCACTCTGCAGCGAAGCCTCACAAGGACCAAGGACCGCTCCTATTCTCCTTTTCCCCCCAGACTCAAGACTGAGAAGGTGCAAGGAAGCAAAACCAAAGCAATCCACACTGCCAGAACCAGAGCATACAGCAGGGGAATCCAAAAGCCACGTTACTGACCACCAGAATATATGTTTTGGGCACAAAAGCCAGACTCATTTTCCTGTACACTTATTTATCTGCGAAATAAATGGAGAGACAAAAGATGTGAAATTAAGAAAATGTACTGGCTCTGGGATCTAGATTTTTCTGTGAGAAAGTCCAAAAGCTTTACTTTTTCCCCAACAGGAAATAAAAGACCTTCCTGGCTGGAGTATCCCAGGAGCTTTGCACCTAGCAGAGTGACTTCTACACTGGTGGGACTTGCTAGTTTCTCTTATCACATGTCTTTGGGAAATCAGAGGGTTTCATTGCTTTATCATTTGATCTAAAGACTCGTAAGTGAACTGGAATCAAGACCTTGGATTAATAGGCCTCCATGCTGTTGTGCATAGGGTCGCTATGAGTCGAAAACGACTCGACAGCACATAACAACAACAACATACTAAAATATCAATTCCTGGAACGTTTTGATGGTATGACAAACAGCATCAGCTGTACGTACCACCTTTAAATAGATTCATGGAGTTAGGGTAACTAGATGTGGCACAGAAACTAACTTAAAAATACTTTCTATAACATTCAACTAATATTCAAGTTCTTTTATAATACAAATTGAACACATCTGTTTTCTGAATTTACTAGAAGCATGTTTTATGTAACACACAGAGATAAAACAAACTGCCTCAATAATTTAAAACAACTGATCCACCAATCTAAGTGTTAACCCAAAGTGTTACAGACAATATCGAGTCCTCCCAAAGCATGTGTTGGAGTTCTAACCCCCACTGTCTGTGGCTCTAATCCCAAATGAGAATAGCACTTCGCTGGAAGGTATGTCTCAAACTTAATGACTTCTGAGCTGTAGTCAATTCAACACAGATGTCAGCACAACCGGCCACACAATGCTAAGTGGAGTGCCAAGGAACTGAGGGACGCTGGAGCCACAGGAGCTAAAACAAGGACCTTCCCCTAGCGCTCACTCACTCCCTGCTGTCTGCCCGACTCACAGGTCCCTCCAGCGGGTTTCCAATCCCCATCGCAGCAGGGGATTATAAAATTATTATATATTATAATGAAATTTGTATTATAAAATTTCTCTCATGCTGATGTGAACTGCAAGATTGGTTTGGCCTCTGAGGTAGCAGGAAATGTGCTGAGGACTATCCAGAAGGCAGGGAACTCTGGTGGCTTAGTGGGAAGGAGCTGCACTGCGGAGTGAGAGGCACTCGGTTTGAATTCACTACGTGCTCCCAGGGAGAAGGATGGGCAGTCTCCTGTGTGATTTACTGCTTCCAAAATCCTTCTGGAGGGAGACCATAGCTGACATCCAAGCAGATATATGCACACCCATGTTTACTGCAGCTTTGTTCACAATAGCAAGGAGTTGGAAACAACCTAAGTGCCCATCAACAAACGAATGGCTAGAGAAGCTGTGGTATATTCG